GCATGTGGGAAAAACTGGCACGGGGCAGGGGCTGAGCAACACTATAGCAAGTGGGGATGGATGACAGGTGCAGCGTTGAATGAGATATGTACAGGGAGGTGACGGATGCCAAATCCACGAAGGACTGAATGAGACAATGGCATTGGTTGAATGACCGGGAAGAAGGGAGGGAGTATATGGGTCTGGAGGAGGGAAGGGTGCAGGGAAAGGTGCATGGAGGGCCAGCTGTCTATCACACTCTTGTTCACCTCCTGCGCCACCCTCAGTGGCCTTCCTTCCTCAGGTGAGCCAAGATAGAGCAGAAGAAGGCTGTGGGAGCCTGGAACTTCTTGGTCTTATCTGCTTTTCACCTCTGCTTCGGAGCACTAGGCTGTGTCTCCACATACCTAGAGAGAGGTACCTCTTTTATGTCACCAGAATCACAAGGAATCCGCTTCTGCCCCCTGCTCTGCCTCCTGCATGACATGTACAAGCAGTGGTTTCCTAGAGGCCTGGTGCCCTGTGAGGCTGTGCTAAAGGAGGGACCACAGAAGAGGTGTGCCCTCTACATGGCTGTGAGCCTAGAGCTCCCACGCCCTCCGGACATGCCTGTGATGCACTGAATGTTGAGTCCTTCCCCAGGGCCCATGTGTGAGCTTCCTAAGTGGTGACTGAAATAGGAGAAATAAAAAAACAGGTGAGACACTCCACAGGCCCACCCAGCCCCAGAGACCATGCCACAGGTGGGCCAGCAGCCATAGTCTCCATGTCCTCCCTAGTATCTCTGAATTTTGAAGTTCAGCCCTTCTCCCCAGGTGGACACTGTCTTGCCTGCTTCAGTTTCCTCATCTGTAAAGCAGGAAGGGAATCCTGCCAGTCTGGTGGATGATGGGGGCATGTATGACTGTCCCTGCTCCCTCAGAGCCTGACCCTGTCCACTGCACTAGCCCACTCCTATTTTGCAATCAGGTGCAGGGAGAAAAGATGGGTCAGGTCTGGGGCAGCATAGAGGGGATCAATGACAATGGAAGTGAGGGAAACAAGAATGACCAGGGCAACTCAGGAGGTAGTGGAAGGGGAGAAGAAGGTTGGAAGGTTCTTGAAGGCCAAGGACCCACAAAAAGGATCCAAAGGGCCAATCTAAGAGTGTGCTTAGTGGGGGAGGGTATCCTGAGTCCAGTGGCACCAGACAGGTTAAAGTAGTCACTTGGTTTTGCTGTCCCTGCACCCATGCTGGACTGCCACCAACTGTTTGGGTTTCCTGCTGCTCCTGTCACGCCCAGGTCTCACAGCGGCACAGGTGAGAGGGGATAGATGCTTCGAAGAGCGCGATCCCTAGATCAGAAACAACACCCAAAAGTGTCAGGGAAAAACTGGAAAGTGATGTCCATCCATTCCATGAGAATGCTGCCTATGGCACTGCTCAGAACCAGAAAAGGCAAAGGCCCCACACTGTTGTCCAGCACATGCAGGTGCCCTTGTTCATTTCCTCAGGGTAGGTACCACTCCCGGCCATGGACCTCATCTTAGACCAGTCACTTCAATTCCCGAAGCAATCACTGGTTTTCAGATGGACTCAGGGGCTCTGGGGAAATCCAGCCCTTGATGTGCTCTCCCCTCTCCTCCAAAGTGTGGCCATAAAGGAAAACATCACATCCCCCACCACCCTCCCCACACACACAGCAAACCGATCTTTGAATCGTCCTCCACGGCTCTGCAGATGAGATCTGGTTTCTTCATTTTTAAAGATCCTGAAGGTGATAACAACTTAGATCACAGATGTTAGATTGAAAAAAGAAGCATCATGGAGATTCCAGCTTTATTATATCATGGGAGAGACCCACTATGGGTGACAATTTTGGCTTAAGGTGACAAGTTTGCATCAGGAATCCCTTACACAGCTCCAAAACATCAGCCACAACCTGGGCAAATCCAGATAGAGCACCCACAGTCTTTGCATACTCTGTCCAATGCCCCTGACTTCCACCACTCTCATCAACAGGCTTGGAAAGGGAACAAATAACCTCTCCTGTCTGTCAGACAAGCAGGGAAGGTACAAATAAGAGTGTGGGACTTCGAGAGTTGAGAACTAAACAATTAAATTCCTTCTCAAGAGCTACAAGTGGCATGGACGCCACCGGGGCAGCACAGAAACCAGAACTGGACAAAGGATGTAACTGCATCCACCCTTTGCAGAGCTGACTGCACTGGTTATTATGATGGTCACTGTACCCAGGGCACCCCAGGGAGCTAAGGCAAGATTCAATGTAAGATTCCTCCAAAATATTTCATGAAGTAACTATATGTTTTTAAAAATCCATTGCACAGGGAGCTAATAACTGCATCTGAGAAGATGTGTTCATTAGCAGACACCCAGTGCTGGGGTTCATGCTGCAGCCTGAGATGGGCATGAAATTGACATACACTCCAGACATTGTTCAAGGTTAGACTGAAAATAAGAACGTCCATGAAGATTATCCTGACTCCAGTAGGAGACTATTCCTCGGAGGATGCGCCTTGGGGCTGGGTTTTGTTCTAGGCCTAAGAACAGTTTAATTTGCATTTATATTTTAAAAAGAAAACAAACAGAATTAACTGGAAAGCTGCTTTGTTTTCTGTACGTGTGAGCTCTTCTGCTAAACAGCTTCTCAGACCAGACGGCATGGAGTTCAAACAGCCAATGGCCAACTTCAATGACTGCACGCCTGCTAAGTGCCATGCTCTGCCTGCAGGAGAGTGTTACACAGTACCTCATCTACAGGTGGGGAAACTGAGGTTGGGATTAAGAAAATGACATTGCTCTGGTCTTACAATGTGGCAGGATTCAGATTGGAAGCCAGACCTGAGATTCCAAGTACAGTATCTTTCCACGGGCGGGGAGCTATGTTACAATGTGTGTGTGCGTGTGTGTGTGTGTGTGTGTGTGTGTGTGTGTGTGTGTGTGTGTGTCTGTGTGTCTGTGTGTGCATGTGAGTACATTCCAACATTTCTGTTCAGAAAATCAGTTGAAAACTCAATAAAAGAAGTGAGAAAAATCGGTGTATCTCTCACTGTCCCTGGTTCCGCGTTGACGTGAGCCCACCACCCCAGGGCTAACATCACACTCTCACTTAACCTCGCTTCCTGTGATGTGTTTTCTCAGGCCTTGGAGCCACCAGAAGCATATGTCCCAAACTGTTGATCAGAATCGATAATAGAAACACACCTCTGTAACCACTTAATCTGTCTCCATGATTTATTTTTTAAAGAAAACTGGAACATTTCTTGGTTTGCTTTTTACTCCAGCCCTCTCCTCAGTGTGACAGCTCTCCCCTTGGGACCAGTCAAATGTTTTATGTGCAGGTTTTACTATTGGGAGCCAGCATGCTAGCCAATTTCACCTGTATCTGGTCTAGATCACAAAAGCCACCTTTAAAGGAATGAGGATTTTCTCCAGTTCCTTGAGGGTCATATTCACAGGCACATTTCTTGCTTGCTAGCTGTCCAGAAAATAGACTCCTGTCCCTTAGAATCAATGACTTGCACATTTTCATGCCACAGCTATAGTTTAAAAAAATGATGTCAGTGACCACCTGGCCTTCTCCAATGCTGGACACAGCAGAGGGAAGGACTCTTTCACGTTTGGGTGCTGGGCAGGGAATGTGGGGCCAGCAGGACCAAAGCTGGTAATATAGATGACAGAAGAACAGTTTCCTTCCTTGAGCATGAAAACATGCTCCAATGAATTAAACATTTAAAACAAGATGACTCTCTAAAAAGTCTTTTCAACCAAGGAGAAACAGGCCGTCCTGTGCTGGTGCTTCCTGTTGCATATGGCACTGAGAATTCTGTTTTTTCAGCATGCAGAGCTTTCCAGACAAAGAAAATATCAAGGAAAAATTAGAGGGAAAAGGCTAGGAAAGTAGACAAGGGGCCAGAGAGAAGGGCAGGAGGAAGGAGATCTGTGCTTGGGTCACAGAGGCAGAAATGACTGCAGGGGTGTAGGAAGGAGATCACCCCTAAGCCAATATACTGGCTCTAACAGGTTCAGAGAGAAGGCCCTAGGGAGGCGTAGGTAATGCTGGGAAACTACAGAGACACCACCCAGCATCCTGCCAGCAGGGCAAACACCACATCCATTGGGATCAAGGGATCTTCATAAATTCCCACAGGCCTCAAAACTGATGTCTGTGAGGCCTCCCAACCCTCTGCCTCATAGGGTACAGCCCTAGGAACCCGCAGAGACCTTGCTCTGTGGACAGTGCACTGGGCATGGGATCTACAGGTGATAAATCCCAAGGTGTACCCTCTCCCCAGAGAGGGCTAAACTTTCTGTTTTCTGCACAATATGCTCAGTGGTCTTCCCTAAAGAAACACGAAGTGGTCACCCACATCTATCCCACAGCAGCTCACCTGCTGCCACCCCATCCCCAACACCTGGAGAGAAAATTCTGCTCCCAAGGGCCTCACATATGCAAGCTCCAGAACTCAAAGAAAGGGAGCCAGGGGGAAAGAGAGCCTAAGTCTGAGCTCAGAAGAGAGCCCAAAGACTGGCAAGTGTCAGTGCCTCTCCCACCACCACCACCAGGAGCAGCCTCCTACCACCTGGGTCCATCTGGACCCCTTTAGGTGTCAGGCCAGCCCTCTCCAACTCCCTGAGAGGTAGTAAGTGTAAGGCTTGAACCCACATGGCGCAGCGCAGCTCCTGCTGGGGTGGTGGGTGAGTGTGTGCCTACTGTGAAATTATTCTTAGCGATCCTCTGTCTTCGCAAAAGTGGCGCCTCCACCCTCAGGGATTTAGGCTCATTCGCAGGCCTAGACACCGGAGGGGCAGATTGCACGGGTGGGTGGGGTCCCTAGCCTTGGGGTTCTGAGACGCCAGAGAGATGTGAACTCCCCAAAGACAGTGGGCCTTGCGGGAGGACCCTCAGGGGAGGCTCCTTTTACCCTGGGGCCCCCTGCAACCAGCCCTGCGCTGCACGCACTTAGCTACCTCGGGGTACCTCTCCCGGGCGCCCGCCTGCGGCGCACCCAGCCCTTACCTATGGTGGTGATGACCGTGATCGCAAAGTAGAAGGAGCCAGCGAATTTCCACTGGACGCCGGCGCGGTGCGGTTCCGACTGCAGGATCACCAGCTCCAGTTGCCTGTAGTCCTCCGTGCTGATGTTATACTTGCCCCTGATCCGGATCTCTTCCGCCTTGAGTTTCTCCTCTTCGCGCATCTCGTGGTCCGACTCGAGGGCGTCGAACACCGCAGCGCCCACCAGCAGGTAGGTAAAGGTGCAGGCGATAAGGGACAGAGTCCTCACGTTCTGCTTTTTCATGGCCGCCAGCAAGGCGCTGGCGCGGGGAGCGTGTCCCGCAGGCTGGCAGCCACGCGCGTCCCACTGCAGCGCCCCGCGGCCGCCTCCACGGCCGCCGCCTCCAAGTTGAAAGCCGCGGCAACAGAAGAAGCAGCAATCGGGAAGCAGAGGACGGGCGGGCGGTGGAGGGGCCCCTCCGCCGGGGCCCCCATCACCGCGAGGCGGCCGGCGAGCCAGTGGTGGCGCGGGCCCGGGCTCGGCGGAGAAGGCGGGCAGGCACAGGAGGCTGCTGGAGCGCCGGGGCCAGGCGTCCTGGAACCCCGACACCCTGCGCCAGGTCCGGTTGAAGCAGCCTGCCCCGCTGCGCACGGCCATGCCCGGTGGCCCGGCGGTGCCCAGCGCGGGCTGCGTTGCCCTCCGCACCCCGCCCCTCGCTCCTGCCCGAAAGGCAGGAGCGGGAGCCGGAGTTGGAGACAGGTTGGAGGGCGGTCGGGGGGAGGGGGCCCCGCGCCCCTCTCCGTTGGGATCCAGGGGTAAGCCTTAAGGGTCCTCTCGCACCCTGCGGGACCTCCTTCTCCTCTCACCCCCTCTCGCCCCCTTAGGTTGGGGGCGGAAAAGTTTGCTAAGTGGTGGCGCCTCTGGAGTCCCCGGCAAGGGAGCTAAGCAGGTGCCACGGGAGAAGCAGCCCGATGCCCTAAGGTCCGAACGCCCTGCGCCCACCTGGGCGCGCGGGGGCACCGGAAGGTACCCGCCGCGCGTCGGCCGGTCTGCGAAGTTTGCTCCGCTCAGCTTCCGAGGCGCAGGAACGGGGCGCGGCTCCAAGACGGCAGGCCCGCGGCGCAGCTACCTCGGGGGCGGCCAGGCGACTGCGCGACAGCAGCCGGCCAGCGAGCTCCTCCGGGGGTGGCAGGCGAGGCGGCGACGGCGGCGGTGGGAGGGGTCCCGCAGGCCCGCAGGATCCGCGGGGCGGGGGCGGACGCGGGCGCAGCAGCCGCCGCGAGGTCCCGGCCCTCCCGCGTCCGGGCGTCCGGGAAGGCGGCCGCGGCGCTGGTCTGCCCAGGGCGCTGCGTGCGTGTGCGCCGGAGGGAGCCCGAGTGTGTGTGTTTGTCTGTGTGTGCGCGCGTGTGTGTGTTTGCGCTTGACAGCCCCGCTCGAGCGGGAGGGCCGCGGGGGGCGGGGGCCAGGCTACGCCGAGGCCGGGCCTCCCTCCCGCCTCCCTCTCTCCCGCAGCTTCCAGGGCGCGCCACCTCCCGCCTGGTCCCCAGCCAGCTGGCGAGGCGACAGTGGCAGCTCCCGCTGCAGACCCAGCGCTGCGCAGGGCGCACGCTGAGGGAGCCCGGGAGAGGTGTCCGGAGCCGCCAGGGAGGGAGTGGGGGACGGCAGAGGACTGCGTGCAGCCAGAGTGGGGGCGGGGCGGGGGATGGGAAGATAGACGAGGCTGCTAGGGCCTTTCCAGCCTTCTCCCCCGAGAGCGCATGCAGCCTCGGTGGGCAGAGAGTTGGGGGGATCCGTGACTGCGGGAGGGGAACGGAATTCAGCCCGAGAAGAAGGCAGTCTTGCAGCTTCAGGCAGCGGAGAGGTCGAGGGAGAAAGAGAAGCGGGAGGGGAGGAGGCACCGACACCTAGGAGCTCGAGCGGTGGCTTTGCACGAGGTTTCTCCACCATCATCACCAGCAGCAGCAGCAGCAGCCACGGCCGCTGCCTCTTGGAGTGCTAGGGTCCCGAGACCCTCCTCGGACCCGCTGGAACCTGGAATGGTGTATCCTGGTGGCCCAGCCCTTGCCAACCTGAGTCTTTCCCGCCCCCACACCCTGAGAACACTGGAGACAGCAAGTCAGGACAGCACAGAAAAACGCCGCATTCCCCCCACCCGATGCCCTTCCTGTTGCTTTTCTGATACACACTCGGGTACCCACGATGCGGGGCGCGGGGTTAACCTCGAATGCAGTCCTGCCCTCCCCGCCAGGTGGCTGTCCCTCTGGGGTCCAGCTGGGGAAAGAACGCGAGGCTTGGCAGGCACATAGCCATTCTTGCGTCCCCCAAAAGAGACTGGCTTTCTGGCTAGGCATATAGGCCCTTAGGGTCTTCTCTCCTCGTCCCCCTTTGTATCACTGAGGTCCTTTCCCTCCAAAATCCTCCCGCAAGAGGTGGAGCTCTGAACCCGTAGGACCAAGCCCCGGACCTACAGGGGCTCTCCTCCGCGGCCACGCCATCTCCTTTGGCCCCTGTCAGTGAGAGATGGAGATGGGGCAGGATCCTCCCTGGAAAAGTGCGAAGGGTCTGATGCAGTGGCTGGCCCAGGAGACTGGAGAAAGCTGGGCAATCAGATCAGCTCTTGAGGGAGCCCTGTGCCCTTGGCTCGGCCCTCCCCTCGTGCTTGCGACCCAGGACTCAGGCTACCCGGGCCTGGGACCCCGTGCCTCGCGGAGATAACCGACTAGGACACTCGCCATCCACCCCCTTGGAGGGCTCCTGGAAACCCTTCGGGAAGGGGCGTCCAGACTGTGAGCTAAGTCTGGGAAGTCAGGTCTCTGCCGGGTGAGCAGGCATCCTGGGGCACCCGCGTGGGGAGCCCCATCCATCTGAACAGTTGTTCGCTCCAGAAATCATTTTGGAAACCGAGGCCCCCGCGCTCGGCGAGTGAGTGAGCTCGCTGGTGGGTGAGTCACCGCAAACGGGCGACAAGGATTCCCAGCAGCTGGTAATTAATTGCGCCGTGGCTCAGCCCACGACAGAACCCCAGTCAGGCCTCCCCCTACCCTGGCACGGCGCCGCTTTAAGTCGCAGCCGTCGGGCCTCTGCACGGTCTGAAGTGGCCTGCCCGCTTTCTGGCCACCAGGGGGCGCTAGACTCCGACCCACAGGTCCGCCGGGCTTTGAACCAACCGGGTGGCACCGAAGTAGGGCTGCTCCGGGCAGCAAACTAGGAATGGGGAAGGGCTGCGCTCCACGGAGGGATCTCCTGCTTTGGGGTGAGCCACCGTGATTAGGCTTAGAAACCCCGATTTACGTAAAGGCTTTCAGGAAAACGAAAAGGGACTTCAGAGACAAATTACGCCAAACCCTTTGTTTTACAGATGGAAAAACGTCCAACTGGAGAGGATCACCTGCCCGAGATCACACAGCAACTCTCATCCAGGACCACCACTCGACCCTCCTCCCTGGGCTTTTGGCCAACTCTCCTTCCAGGACCTCAGCTGCTTTCTGAGCCAAAGTTCACAGAGCCAGAATAGCTGCAAACCAAACCCTATCTTCCATTCTTCCCTATGAGCCCCCTTTAAACTGTGAGGCCCTTGGACTGTAACACAAGAAAAGTGGGCCTCAGGGTAGGATCTAGGCGTTGGAAAAGTAGGATTTCCCCATCTGGCCACACACACCTGCATTCCACTCCCTCCCTGTGGCTTGTCTTTCTCAAGCCTAACTGCCATCCACAAGGTGGCTGAGCAGCTAGCCTTGTGGACTGGTGCCACAGGACAGCCCAGAGTGGGTCCAAGTAGTGACTGAATCCACCTCCCTCACTGCCCTTGTGGTTCCCAGCGGTCTGATTACAGCTCTGCCCAGAGGTAGATTGGATCTCAGGTGTGGATGGCCAATCAGAGTCTGTGATTTGCCAGGGCCACGGGATTGGCTGGGCTTAGCTCATGAGCCCACCTGAAACCAGAGACAGCTCTGCCTCTGCTAGAACTAAAAACTGACAGGTGTTACGCCAGGTCATCTCCTAGACATCTCCTAGGCATCTTTAGCCTTAGAGGCTCTGGGCCCAGCTGAGAGGTGGAGAAGAGAAAGAAGGCTTTGAAAATTCTGCAGGCACTGACAGTCAGAACCACCCTACGTGGCTGGTCAAACCCATCTCTCTGTTACTTAGATCACTGAGTTGGTCTCGAACCTGCCTGGTGGGTGTGTAGGGGCCCACAGGAACTGGGTTGACAGCCTCTCTACCCCCCCCCCCATCCACGGCCAGTCCCTGGGGATATCTGGACCTCAGTTTCCTCTTTGGTAAAAAAAGGTGCATCATATTAGCTAATAAAGAACATCAGAGTTTTGTAACTGTACTGCCTACTTGTTTGCTCTTTCTTTACACAGTGGGTGTGTCTGCCCCCCAAACTCCACCACCCCCACACGTTTTACCCAAAGAGACCAGTTTGTCCCAGTGTCACACTGAGTAAGAAAGGACCGCCAGAGGTGATGGTGCAAATCTGTAGTCCAGCACTCTGGAAAAACTGAGGCTGAGGCAGGAAGATGGTAGGTTCAAGCCTGGGAAGCTTAGTGAGATCCTGTCCCAAAATAAACAATAGAAAAGGCCAGGAGGTGTGCCTTGCCTAAGATGCAAATCCTTAATAATAAAAAACAAACAAAGGATAGGACTACACAGCCAGCACCTTCACCTTTTCCACATCGTTACTGTATTTCTAAAAGCAGATGACCTGACAGCAAAACAGGTGCCCCAGGCTGAGGCAGGAACTGGACCCCACAGCAGAATCTTTTTGCTGGGTTCTCCCCAGTCAGGACATCCTGGCTGCTTAGGTACACTTAGAGCTTTGTCACACTGATGTCCTTATCTTTTAAAAATACTCTATCTTCCCCATTTCACAGGTAGGGAGGGTAAGGCGCAGAGCAGGTTAATGGCAGCAGGCCACAGGAAGAAACAAGGCTGACATGCCTCTCCTTGGAGGATCATGAACATGCTCCCACCCCACCACTAGTGGTCCCTCAAGGCTGTGATATTTGCACAGCTGCTGACATGTATTCTCCTTAGTCCTCCAGCAGGGTCAGGATCCAGAGAAGAATGCTTTCAATGCAGGCAGCAAGCCTTCCAGACTATTCTTTGGAGTGTGAATGTATGTGTTCTATGCTGGGTTACACAGAGAAGAATTTGGGGCTTCTCAAAGTCGTTGGCTTGTTAATAGGGATTATGACTCCCAGACCAGAGTACTGTGAGCAGTGTTTCCCAAACTCACTCAGCAGTGGAGCCTGCCTTTGGACACAAACTCTACAATAGTACCAGGTTCTGGGAACCGCACTTTGGGAAACACTGGCCTGGTCTGGAGAGCCAGGTGCAGAGAAGCAGGA